AGTGGCATTTTCTGTCACATTCACAGCCTACATATTCCCATACCAGCATCCAAGTCCTAAAAGGTGCTTGATAAACCTGGCTGAGTGAATGAACACCCTGTCTGCATTTCTTCATGTTTGCTGCTTAGCCATCATAATCTCAGCTCCCCCAGAGAAACTATTACTCACTCATATTTCCAAACTATAGCACTTTTCTGATTAAAATGTCATTTAAGCTTCTCTTGACGTGTGGTACTGTTGACCACGTCCACCTGGAAGTGTGGCTCTCCCAGCCTGTGCCGCTGTCTCACGGTGTTCACTTTCCCCTGCCTCCCTCATCCCCCCTTCGCATTCAGCCTGCTCGCCTCCCTCCACTCAGCTCCTAGACCTGCAGAGGCTCTCTCCTTGGACTCTTTCCTCCTTTATTCTCTGTACATTTTCCCCAAGTGATTTCCAGATTCTCAGCTTTGACTATCATGTATATGCTCGATGACCCTAAAGCCTATGTTTTTGGTCCAAACCTCCATTCTGATCATCTGCCTACTGATCCCAAGCCCCTCAGATCTAAAAAGCCCAGCAGTCCGAGTGGCATCTCCTGCGCCCACTCAGCTCTACCTTCATGACAGCCTGACTCTGCTCCTCCCACAATCTCGTGTCACCACGGTCAGCCAGGTCCTCATCCCCTCTCGCTGGGAACGGTAACAGGCTTCTGGCTGGGGTCCTTGTCTTCAACGTTATCCCATCAATCTGCCCTCTACAGCGCCGTCATCAGGACGGCTCCAAAAATCAGTGATGGCTCCTGCCACTCCGTTCAAACACCTTAACCCTCTGCATGGCTGCCATTGCCCTGAGGATCTAACAAAGCATTTCATTGTCTATGAAGCCCTCAGCCTCCTGTTTTGCCCCTGATGCCTGGAATGCTATGCTCCAATCCTACCCAATTTCTTACCATTCTTTGTATGGATGCGACCAGTTCATGGATCTTCACCTCTGCACATCGTGTTCTTTTGCCTGGATGCCTCCCATCTCTGTGCTCTGGTGAGCTCCCACTCATCTTCCCAGAACCTGCCCACACCTGCTTGCAGATTCTGTGCCCTGCCCTGCAGTTTCAATCTTTGTAAATAATTCCACCACACTCATGATCCCCACGTGTGGTGAACATCTGCTTGCTCATATGACTTCATGAGGGGAGAGTCCTTGCCTTCTATCACCAACGTCTGGCACATAGCAGATCCTTCAATGAGTCATCATTTTTAATGGAGGCATAGTATTCTAGGTTATAAATAGATGACTCAGACTTTCGTTGACTTGTTTCAAATAGCAGATGTGTTGTTTACTTTGCTCTTTTTGAATTACTAATGTTTACTTTTCAAAATAGAAAAGGCATGTGTCTTCTTTTTTAAGAGCAATGCAGGCTTATTGTGAAAGAAAATCCAGGCAGTACAGAAAGGCATAAAAACAAAAGAAAAAATCATCCATAATCCAACATCCAAAATGGCCTTTGAGATGAAGCTGAGGTGTGACTCCAGACTGTGTTCTGTGCATCCACACATGTATAATTATCCCCACATTTAAAAACTAAAATTGAGACATACTGTACATGCTCTTTTATAACCAGCCTATAGACATTCCATGTCATTAAATATTCATATTGCACTTTTTAATGATTATAGTGCTTCATTGTGTATATATATGACAGTATATTTAACATATCCCCTTTCCTTGGACATTTTGGTTGTTACCGAGCTGCTATGAATCTCCTTATAGATATATCTTTGTACAGCTATCTGATTATTTGCTTAAATCTATTCCTTGAAGTTGAATTGCTGGATTCGAAACTTGCACATTTTTCTGCTTCACCTTGTTGCCTTTCAGAATGATTTTACAATATAATACTTCTAACACCAATGTGAGACAGGCCAGTGTCCCCAAAACCTGCTCAATATTGGGCATTACCATGTTTCCTCTTTGTCAGCCTGGGATGGGGGAGAAATGTTTGTTTCTCTTCTCTTTGAGAGAATATAAAGCATTTTGAGACCAGCAACTCCCCAGATGGTCACATGGTAGGCACTTAATAAGAATTTTATGAAAGAAATGGATGACTGCAGACAAATCCATGGAGATAACATAACATACAGGATAAGCTCTGGACTTGGGTCAGACACGCTGAGTTCAAATCCTGGTTCCATTATCTAGTGTTTGTGAATTATAGACAAGTCACCTAACTTTAGTAAGTCTTGGTTGATTTAATGTGAATTGGAGACCACAGTTCCTACCTCATATGACTATTGTGAAGTTAATGAGATGTTGTTTCTAAACAAAGCTAAAAACATTTTTAAAATAATACTTATACATGGTAAAATATTAAAAAAGAATGACAGGTCATATTATACAAAGTCTTCTCACCCACCCTGACTCGTATCCAGAGGTAACAGTTTGCCAGTTTATTTTGCATCCTTCTAGAGATTTCACTCTCTCTCTCTCTCTCTCTCTCTCACACACACACATTAACATATTATCCACATTGTTATACATCTACTCTGTCCACTAAATCCACATAAATTTATGCAGAACCACCTGTTCTTTTTAATTCATTTGAATTTCTCCAGTCTCTACTCTGTGAGCAGATATTTAGACATCATGCTTGAGAGCATAAGCTCTGAAATCAAATTGCCTGAGTCTGAACACTAGTTTTAAACTTACTCACTGTGAAACCGCGAGTACTCAGCCTTGCTTCTCTGCATCTTGGTTTTCTCATCAATGAAACGGGGATGAAACAGATGTGCCTCAAAGTGGGTGTGAAGGTTTGGAGTTGGCTCACGTAAAATACTACCAACATCTGGCACATAACAGTCACTCAATAAAGTGACTTTTAAAAAATTTGTTTCCAATATTTTTTTTCCAAAGAATTCTGCAATGATTTTCCTTGTACCAATGCGAAAGAAAGTCTATCTGGAGGATAAGTCACTAGAAATGAAGCACTGGAAAATGATGCTCTTGCACATGTCAGGAAGAATCCACTGATGGGTGAGATCTTGTGCAGATATCTGTGCATTTAGAGTGGGAACAGGAGGGGGACTTTTACTTCTCTTAAGACTACCGAAGAGGTCTAGAGCCCCCCAAGAGAACCCATGTGAACAGCCTATGCGAGATGTTGGCCTCAATATGGATAAAGAATTAAGGAAGGATGTCTTCTCACTTAGGATGCAGAAAGCTGAAAGGGTGTTCTACCCTTTAACAAAAAAATTTTGGAGATGAACTCCAAAATCATAACTTTTCTTGAATCCATCAGAAAGAGCTGGGGTCACAGGGAAACCAAGCAGAAACCTACAACCCGAGGCCAACACGCCTTTCCCAGGAGAGCCGGGCCAGCTGCGGGCGGGCAGGTGAGAAGAACTTTGCTAAAATTCTTCATGAATTGCTGACGGCTGGGGGAGAGCATGACAGGATATTGCCCCTGGGAGCTGCCCGTCCCCGGTGTTACCCCCCACTCCTGGCAGAGCTCCACGGGGGCCCAGGAGGCTGGACAGCCTGCTCAGGGGTGAGAGGGCTGCCCGCTGCCCGTGGTAGGCCTGAGCCCCAGCCAGGCGTCCCCCCAGAGCAGCCAAAGATGAAAGAGAGAGAGAGAGAGAGAGAGGGAGAGAGAGAGGGAGAGAGAGAGGGAGAGAGAGAGGGAGAGAGGTCCTGGACCCAGAGTCTGTGAGAGCATGAGAACAGGGCTCGGGGGCAGGGACACTGGGCGATGTCTGGGGACATTCTTGGCTGTCGCAGCGGGAGAGAGGGGCATGCTGTGAGCATTCGGTGGGCAGAGGTCAGCAATGCTGGCGAGCATCGTACAACACCCAGGACAGCCCCCTCATCAAAGAATTAGCCAGTTCAAAATGTCAGTACTGTTAAGGTTAAGAAACAGTCCAGGTCTCCCTCAGCAGGAGGGCAGGCGGGAAATTTCCCCACATGAGACCAGCCATAGGCACAAGGCAGAGACTGGCGGCCACAGGAAGGAGGGACCCGATCACTGAAAAATTCCCACCTTTGAGATCCGGGCACGCGAGGCCTGCCTAAGGCAGAGCCTGGGCTGGAAAAATAGGATCTTCCTGAGCTGATCCCCTGGTGCCAGCAGGCCCGCACTGCCAAATGGCAGCAGTGCCTCCCCACCCCACCAGAGAGAGAGCACGGAGAGAGCCCTTCTGGGCCCCAGGTACACAGAGGCCAAAAGCAGAGGACGCAGCAGGAACACTGAGAACACCCAGCCCCCAGCACGGCTGATGATGGGGGACATGAAGCCACGGGCACAGCAGGCAGCCACCCACAGTGACAGCACAGCCCAAACAACGAAACTGACCAACTGACTCAAGGCCCTTACACACACACACACACACTCATGGCCCAGCAGAAAAGCCATACCCATTTACAGCCATATATGCTATTTATCTGTCTCTACGGTTCCACACAGTTGTCCAGCATTTAATTTAAAAAGTATGTGACACACAAAAGAAAAAAAATCCCACTGTCAAGCAACAAAGTACCTGATAGAACCAGATTCGGAGGTAACCCAATAGGAATGGTAGACAAGATCCGGGACTAGATGGGGGCTTTCAGTAGAGTTGGCAACTGTCAGAGTCGAAGAGACACAAGTGCTAGAAATTAAAAAATGGACCCAGAGATAAACAACAGCTTCAATGGGCTCATCCGAAGACCCAGTACAGCTGAGGTAAGAAAGAATAAATAACAGTACATCATGATTTGCTGTGAGCCTTTGGATAAAGTCCTAATCAAAGGTTTCCAGATCGACTGAAAGGAGTAATTCTTGCCTCTGAGTGATTGAGAAGGAGCACCCCGGCAACATTTTCTTTTTTAATGTGGGGAGAGATGTAAGTAACAGCCCTTGGAAACTTTCTAATCCCATTGATACCTATTTTTCTTTCAAAATGGGAAATGGTTTAATTTTTTCTCATGGTAAAATATACACAATCTAATTTTTTTCAGAAGAAAGAAAGTTATTTTCCATACTGCTACCCAGACACAACCACTAACATTTTGTAAATGTGGGATTGCACTATACACAATGAATGCAAACTTCCCTTTTTTTCTCCACTTAATAATATATTATGGACAACTCTACAGGTCTGTAAATATAGCTGCAGAGGGTCTCTTTAATAGCTGCCCAGTATGTGAACAAATATCCTCTTTTGACTGACACTTAGGCTGCTACCATTTGCTTGCAATTTTAGCACACCACCACAGTTGAGAGCCCTTGTACATATACCTTTGTGCACCTATCCGATTATTTTCTTTGGAAAAATTCTCAGACATGAAATTGCTGTGTAAAAAGGTATGCATGCTTTTTAAGGCTTTTAAACAAACTGTCAAACTGTTCTTCAGAGAGGGTCTCCTAATTCACACCTAGACCAAGGGTTTATGGCGAGCTCCGGTTTCTTCACATCCTCACCAGCTCTCAACTTCAGGGGTATTCCTTTTATTCTTGGCCAGTTTGATATACGAAAGGTTAATATTTCTCATGGTCTTAAGCTGCTTGCACTTCAAACAATGATAGGGAAGACAGTAAACACATCCTTCACTGACATTCTATTTTTCCAAACCCCAGCATTTGCCCTGGCTAGAGTTTTCCCTCTTGGCTCGCAATCAGCCAAGGAACCAGCTTATGATCTGAGGACTCTAAATTCCAGCCTGTCTTGCAAACACGTGGGGCAGCTGAGGATGGACCCAAGGATGCTGGGACTTTCCCCTCTGCGGCAGCCCGGACACCCAGGCTGGCAGGTGTGGAGGTGGGCAGGTGAGGCTGAGTCATGTGGGATGCTGGGTGTGGTTTCCAGGATCAACTCCAGAGTCGACACGAAGGTTCCAGTAACGGGCGGCTGAGCTGGGCTAATTGCAGCTGCTGCCCCAACCCGGCCCTGCACGCGGCGGCGGCAGCACAGGAGGAGCCCACGACGAGGAGGAGGAGGTGACACTCCCAGGAAACATCCCTGTGAGCATCACAAAACCAAAAACTCTCCACCCTTCCTATACGATCATCGGTACCTGGAAAGCATCTCTGACTGAATCCACCCCCATGCAAGCGCACTTTTGGGCGTCTGCAGGACACTTCTCAAACCGTGTGTCCAATGAGGGAGATTTCACTCACACAGCTGTGAGGTATCCGTGTTACTTAGTGCGTCTCAAAGCAGAGTCAGCTGTGGGGTTGAGGAAAGAGGGTCAGGAAGCCAGGGTTCAAAGCCTGGTTTCCTAAACTTACTAGCTCTGAAAACGTGAGCTGTTTCTTAACCTCTCTAAAGCCTCAGTTTCCTCATCTGTGAAATGCGGGGCTCATCCTACCTTGCACGCTGTTGGGAGATCATGTAGATGTCCTTGGAATTTCTTAGGCTCCAGCCTGGACCTTCTACAATCCCGGAGTGACCGCCTCCTTACTGCGTCCACTGCATCCAGCACGGAGCCAGGCACACAGCAGACACTCAGTGAATACTCACTGACAGAATGAATGAATTGGCACATTGCTGGGCACCTCATAGGTGCTTAATTAGGAGTCAGTTTTTGAAGCTCAGGCTCTGCAGCAGCATGCTGTGTGACTTTGAGCATGTCACTGTCCTTCTCTGGGCCTCAGTTTCGTCTATAAAGTGGGACTTGTTCATCTGGATCTAGTGCTCTGTTCTATGAATCACTGGTGGACAATTACGATGTAGAGACTAATTGAGGGCACTGTTCTTCCTGAAAAGAGAAGGGGTAAGAGAATACATGAAGAGCTACTGCAGAGATGAATGAAGTTCTGCCAAACCTCCTCCCTCTGTAGGAAGAGAGGTACCAGGGTGAGACATGGCTGCTGGGCACTGGTGGCATCTCTGGGCACTCTGGGGTAAGCAGCCACGCCCAGCGCAGAAGGTCATGCGCCAGTATTCCAGTGTGCATAATGCCCACGATGTGCCATGTACTTAATGTAGCCTTGGAGGTGAGAGACTTTGGTACTCCTAATAAGTATCGGGGGCGTGGGTACCCATCCCCGGCCCTCGCAGTAGAGGGGCTGCTGGTCTTCCATACTCACAAGCATGACTGCTCCTTCCCCATCCCATCACCCACTTGCTATTGGCATCCTCAGCAAGCCCTCGTTCTGCCAGGTACAGGGGCTACAAAACGAGCTCTCCACCTGGGGAGCCATGGGGGGAGACAGCCATAGACGTTTTCGACCAAGAGTTAAAAACTCCCTGCCTCTGGGGCCACATATGCATGGTGTAGTGGCCATATGGTGAACTTGAAGCTCTACAGGGGACGGCACGAATGGGTTTATGCACACTGTGGTCCCAACTGACTTTTTAAGGGAAGCCATAAATTCAAGTTACTCTGTGAAAATTTTCCTGATTTAAAAAAAATTGGTGACTTATTCATGTTTTCATGATCACGGCAGATGTGTGTGTAGCAGAAGGCGTGGTGGGGGCCTCCATGAGACTCTCAAAGCCCCATGGTGTGTGGCTGGGCACCCCCTGCAGTCCAGGGGAGCTCGCCTGAAAGGGCCCCAAGCCTGGTTTAGTGCTCTGCTGTCGCCACTTTAGAATTTTTAATAATTGTTAAAAGGGTCTGAGATTTCACTTTGCACTGGGTCCTACAAATTATACAACTGGTCCTGACTTCAGGGAAGCCCCGAGCCTGCCCAGTGGGGAGAAAGGGCAGAAGGGAGGTCAGGAAATGCTCCAAAGAGGGGCTCAGTAGGCCCGCGAGGGGGGATGGGCCTGGGGGGTGTGACCCGCTGCAGGGGCAGGGGCTGGAGGCTGACGTGTGAGGTTCAGTGGGTGGGTGGAGGGGTGAGTGGTGGCTGAGGTGTGGTGGATGTGAGGATGTGTGGGTGTAGGTGTCAGTGCCTGCCAGTGCGTGTGTGAGGGAGTGTGAGTGTGTGTGTGCGCACAGCACAGGGCAGGCAGTGGCCAGGGCAGGGAGAGGTGGGGACAGTCACAGGGCGGTTCAACAAATATTTGTGGAGCACCTTGTCTGTGCCAGGAGCCATGCAGGGTACTGCGATGAGTAAGCCCCAGTTCTTGCCGCAGCAGCTCCAGGGCAGTGAAGGAGGGAGCCCTGGGCACAGATAACTGGAGCGGAAGGGCAGATTCGAGCAAATTCCTTGCAACCACCTTGCCCAGGTCCCTCAGGAGAGAGGCTAGGTTCCCCCAAACTGGGTGGGAGGTGTAGGCCAGGGGGTAGGCGAGCGGGATTCCGGGAACTGCCCCAGGGCCAAAGCCCAGTGCCCCCACCCCGCGGGCACACCCAAACACACCCAAACATGGGAGGGGTGACCTCCCTCTGACCTGCCCGGCAGCACTCCCGACCCCACAGAAGCAGATAAGAGGTGACCAGCAGCTCAGGGCAGGTCTGAACAGCCTGACCACGCCCAAGGAGACCCAAAGCCCCTGGGCCAGAGGCAGGGCTGGGACTCCTTGGTGGCTGGCCCCAGGGGCTCCTGGACTGGTCAGAGTTGGGGTACGGGCGGCTGACACCCACAGAGAGGGTGCCGGGGGGGATGAGAAAGGCCAGCCTATGGGTCTGAACCTGTGCTCTGCAGGGTCCTGACAGGGGAAGGGGGTGGACAGCAGGGTCAGACAGACTTCTTGAGGAACCTGTCATTTGTGAGGTGCAGAGGGACCCTCCCCAGAGCTGCCCAGGTGTTGGCCCAGTCAGGGCCCCCGTCGCCCCGCAGCCGCCTGGGGGTCCTGCTGCCCGGCTCCTACCTGGAGGCCAGTGTGCAAGGTTCTAGCCCGACTCTTACCTGGCCGGGGGCTTTGGACCAGCCACTAGCCTCACCAGGGGCATCGGGGCACATCTCCTCAAGGGCTGGGATCACGGGATGAAGAAAGCACCTCATAAACTGAACAGGGCGCACAAAGGTCAGAGTGCAGTGCGCAGCCGCTCCCTGCCCTGGGGCAGAGGGTGAGGGCCTGGCCCGCATTCCCAGCTCTGGCCGAGCAAGCCCTCCCTTGCAGCGTCCCTCTTCAGAGCTGAGACCCCCGACAGTCGAGGCAGGTGGTGCACGGCGCATGCGTGCTCTGGGCTCCTAAGGCTCGTCCTCCACTCCTGCTGAGGTGACTGGGCAAAAAGGGCAGCCTCCCAGGCAGCGTGAGGGAACTGGGAGCCTAGCACACTACTGACTTTCAAGAAATGAGGTCTTATTAGGCTAAATTGCCACAGGATCCCCAGCTGGGAAGTGGTCTGGCCAGCGTGGAAGCCAGGTCTGTTCCGGGCTAACCTAACCCTTACTCATTACCGTCTTTGGCTAACACACTTCAGCGGGGAAACCTCTTCCAAAATGGCCCCAGAAGATTCTAGGTTCTTTCATGACCCCATTACTTTCCCCAACCAATTTCCCCCCTTTTCTATCATTCCTTGATCCATTCCAGAGCAAGCCCCCCTTACATACACACACCCCTGTTTTTCTAAGACTTCTTCCTCACCCACACACATCCTTTAGCTAATAATTTGGTATTTCTAAGACAACTAAATACCATTTCAAATTTACAAAATGGCTTTGTAACATGCTCTCTGGAATTTGAAGCCTCAAACTTAACGTACTTTCCACTGGAAGGTATTTATTCTTCATAAAGAACCCTGCAACCAGCTCAGCTCCCATCAGTAAAATGTCCTCCCTAAAACTGAGACATATTACCAGCGTGCAGTCGGGTGGCAGAGTTCTGGAATCCACTGAGGACCAAGTCAGAGGAGGCCCAGAGAACAGCCCCAAAAAACGTTCTGGTGACACTGGCGGAGCCACCAGCCCTATTGAAGCTCACCTTCCACATCTGTAAAATGGAAATGACCAATCTCCTCTTCCTCTGGGAGCATTAAATAGGGCGAAATGGAATCTAGCACAGAGCAGGGCAGACTGGGCCGCCGTGTCTGTTCCTTCCCCCAGTCCTTCTCATGCAGGACTCCTCTCCATTTTGTTTGTTTTTTCGCTCCACAGGATCATCACCCTGATTTCATGTCAGACAACGAAAGCTAGGATTCATATTACAGATATTCAGCTCACGGCCAACTTGGCTGGAATGCAAAAGCACCTATTCCACAAGGCCAGACATGCAATTCTAGACTTCTTAGAGAACCTTGGGTCCAAACCCCAGCTTTACAGCAAGGAAGCAGGCCCAGAGAGGACTGACTTGGCCAGGGTCGCCGAGCAAATGTGTCGCGCCGGCAGGACAGCCTGCTGCTCAGCTCGCATAGCTCACGACCTTGCTGACATGAAGTCTCGCACGCATCCCCTTCCAGCCCCTGGCCAGCCTGTCCCTGAACCCAGCTCTCCCGCTGTAGGAAACCATTACTACCCCATGTCGGCCTCTGCCTTTACCACTAGCCCAGCAGATCCCCCTGCCCTGGTGCCCTCCCACTGCCCCATGACCATATTCAATCCAGAAAGCCAAATTTCAGTACACGGGTTGCTAAGACAAAGGTTAGGAAAAGTCCAGAAGGCACTTTATTGGAGGTCTCTGCCTCCATTCACAGGAGCAAGGAGCCAGGGGCTGCACCCTGAGGACCCTGGCTCCACCCCGACACCCACTGGCCCAGCAGAGCGCCTCAACAGTCGGTCTGGCCACTGGTACTCAGTGGGAGAAGAGGAGGGAGGGAAATGTCTTAGAAAAAATAGATCTCTATGTACATCTGACATATTTATAACACATAAATTAGGGAGTGCTGACCCCCGCCCGCGGTGTCCAAGCACTGAGGTGGAAGCCAGTCCAGAGAGCAGGTGAGGGAGGGCCCCCATCCTGTCCCCCCGCTTACGGTGCCCTGCGGCCTCCCCCGGCCTCCGCGGCTCAGTCCAGGCATCTGCAGGGGGATGGCACCGTCCGCAGCCAGGGTCTGGATTGGGTCGGAGGTGGCCCCAGACACACGGAGCTGCACTCAGCCCAAGTCGGCAGCCAGGTCACTCCAAAGCCCAGGGCTTGTGATCCCAAGTGGGGGGCGGAGAGGACGGCTGCAGGCCCGGATCCCAGGGCGACGGCTGACAGGGTTCTGGGACCTCCGCTTCTCTCCACAGCAGAGCAGGGCACACACCTGAATGCGGGGGCCTGGCAGTCCTCCCAGGAGGGGCTGCAGACTGCAAGTCAGTGCGTTTGGGTCCGGGTCTAATTGGACCCTCAGTTCCGACTCCCGACAAGCTCTTCCTCCTTCCAGCCGCTGGAGTTTTTGCCAAATTTGTAGACGAGTCGCCGGCCGTCCACCCGCTCCAGGATCTCCCGTTTGTAGTAGTACCTGGGTGGACAGGGGCGGTCAGGGTCCCCGAGGCAGGAACACCCTGGGCTGCCCACGCCCTCCACTTGGCCCCGTTCCCCTCAGGTGACCTGTCCCACTGGCTCAGCACAACTAACCCACACCTGCCCTACTTTCTGGAACTCTTCTTCCGAAATGCAGAGCGGAGCCGTCTTGGCCCCATGGCGGCACTTGGCCTGGACCTGTGTTCGGTGTGCCTGGTTCTGCCCTTGCTTCTATCTCAGGGCTGTGTTCTGGGCTTATCATGAACCCAACCATGAACATGACTTTAGGCCTGGAAGGGACCTTCGCGATGACTGAGGAGAAACTGAGGTCCACAGACAAGCATCTTAATTGCTGCAGCAGCAGATGCCAGGTCTGGATGTACACCTTGCTAACGGTCCTCCCGCAGGTAGGTGTCCCTTGGGAAAGCCTTGCAGATAACTACACAAAGGAGCACCGTCGGAAGAAATCTGGCGTTCACCACATGCCAGCCACCACCGCCTTCTCTGTGCTACAGCATTTTACCCGTGACGTAAGCAGACGCTGCCACCAGCCCCACTCAGCCTCAGAGCTGCTGGCAGCAGCAGGGTGGGGGCAGGCCGGCAGGCCCCCGGGCGCGGCCACCCGCTCACCTCATGGCCCTGCTCAGTTTCTCATACGTCATGCTACTGTTTTTCTTCTTCTGGCCCCACAGCTGGGCCACGGCCTCGGACCGCAGGAACTTGAAAACGCCCTCCTGCCGGTTCTCCCACTTCATGAGGCCCTCGTTGAGCTCCGGGTGGATGAGGATGTCCCGGATGAACTCCCACAGGTGGGTGCCTCTGGGGGCTACGGAGCCAGAGTCCTAGTCAGCGGCTGGTGGTCCTATCCCCCAGGGCCAGGTGGCCCGCCCGGCCCAGGAATGCAGCAGGTCCTAAAGGCCAGTGCCCTCTCACCTGCCCAGCTGGATGGGGACAGTATCTCACACAGCAAAGACGTTTGGCTCACTCAAACATTGACCAAATTAATGTCTGGCTGGGATATGAGCCTGATACAGACACACTCCTGCCTCGAGGAGCCCCCAGCTTGGTGGGGGCCCCAGTTACAAAGCAAACACACCAACAGGTGGTGAGAGCTCGGCAAGTGCAGGAGCACAGAGCTGGCCCCAGCCCCAGGGACAAGGGACAGCTGCCTGGAAAAGTGAGCCCCCGAAGACAGGGAAAAAACCACCAGGCCTACTGTGTGCAGGAGGGGGCTGCATGCGTGAAAGCACAGAGGCGAGAAAGCGCTTGGGGCGGTCTCCCAAGCTTCCCAGCGCCTGCACACTCAGGCCCATGGCCGGCGCATGCAGAGGTGGTGGTGGAAGGGCCGCTCCCTGCACGTCGCCCAGGGGGCAAGTCCAGCAGCCGAGGCCCTGTCCTCCGCCTGAGCCCACTGTGGCTCCTCGGTGCTCCCAGCCTCACTAGCCTGCCTCCCTCCTCACACCCATGGGTGTTCCGGCAGGCAGGCCGGACCGTGGGTGGTCAGCAGACCTCGGATTTACTCCAGGACCACCGAGCGGACTCTGAATTAGGTGTGACCACCCCCATACAGCCCTGGCCTGCGCACAGTCCTAACAAAGAGCCAGCTGCCAGCAGCAGTGCAGAGGACCGCAGGCTTGGGAGGAGGAAGAGGAGCAGCAGCCGGCCGCAGGGACGCCCACCCCCCAGGTTCCCGCCGCTGGGAAGCCCACCATGCTTGCTCTTCTTGCCCTCCAGGCACTCCCGGGACTCTTTGCTCATCTTTCGAGGCCGGCCCCGTTTCCGTTTCCCATGCTTAGGATCCCCCTTCTTACAGTCAGGAAAGCCATCTGTGGGAGGGGTTTGGAGCATCAGGGCAGGGAGAGGTGGAGGCACCCAGAGGCAGCCCCTCTTTAGGAAAAGCCTGCGGATGGTGGAGACGAGCGGAAGGGCCAGGCCCCTGAGCACAGCCCCTTGGGGACCAGGAGCCCCCCCCCCACTCACCACTGGAGAAGAGCTTGCTGTCGGAGGGGTCCAGGTCCATGTCACTTGCACCGGAGTCTGAGGAGCGAGGGCTCTGAGAGGTGCCAGTCCCTAGAGGCAGCGGGGGCGGGAGTCAGTGCCCCACCAGCCCACTCCTGTGAGACGGGCCCACTGCTGAGGCTCTGAGGACACGCTGTCCAGCCAGGTCCAGCTCCGCCCAGAAGGCCTGGGTTCCGGCGCTGGGAACCCAAGGCTCAGGGCCACTTGGGGGAAAGGGAGGCGGCGGCCCAGATGGGGGTGCTCACCGGGGGTGGAGACGTCCGAGCTGCCTGGGGAAGGGGCTCCCGCGCCATAGCTGCCCCGGTAGCAGGGGCTGGCCTGCTGGCAGTCTTCTAACGTGTCCTGGCCGAAGGGGCTTCCCTGGTCTGGGAAGAGGAGATGAGAGTTCAGACTGGGCTCGGAGGGCCAGGCAGAGGCTCCCTGCGGGTCTGGTGGGCTGCTGGTTTCTCTAGCTGGGAAGATACGTCTGGGGAGGGAGGGTCAGCTCTGTGCTCTGGGGAGGGACAAGCATACGGCGGGACAGGTCACTGAAGGAGTAAGGACGTCCCCTCACCGAAGGGGCCTGGGTCTCCGGGGGTCCCCTGGAAGGGGCCGCTGTCCCTCTCCAGCAGCTCCATGATCCAGCTGAGTTCGTCCGGAAAGCTAGAAGCTGAGGAGGAAAGGAGGGGTCAAGGCCAGGCGGTGTCGCTCACCCCCAGGGACTCTCTCTCCGGCTGTGCCCCCTGGCCTGGGGCCCCAGGTCCTTCCCACAGCCATGCTGACCTTGGCTTGGGCTCTGGGGCCAATCCCTGACCAGCCTCCCAAGCTAGGGAGTTAAGGGCAGGGGGCAGGCCTCCCCGCTCCAGTCCTGGGGCCCAGTGGCACCAGTGCCTAGACTCACTGAGGTCCCACAGCTGGGAATAGAGCTGGTCCCCCAGGGGCCCGAAGACCAGACGCAGCTCCTCGGGGGCGCAGCTGCAGAGCGCAGCCCCGTCCATGTCGCACCGCGAGAAGTCGATGGAGCTCGCGTCGTACTGGTTCTTCTCCACTTGGTAGCTGATCCAGTCCAGAACCTGGGCCTTTGACCAGAGCTGGGGCTGCTCCCCCGACCAGCTGGCCTTCTCTACAAGGGGCCGGGCACATGACGTCGACTCAGTGCACCCTGCAGGCCCTTACAGCCCAGTCCTGGCACCCACTTGGGATTCCTGTGTGTCCCCCCTCACCTCTCAGCGGACTCGCCCGGGAGAAGGGGCCGGGAGTGGTATTCCAAACAGCCTTGCCCGGCACCTCAGCCAGTTACAGCCCCCAAGACCCTTAACACCTCAACCTCTCCCAGGTCACCCCACCCCTCGCACTGGATTCTGCTTGGGAGGCCCTACTCCCCGCCCAACACCCCATTTATCTAATAGGCTGTTAGAGCATGTCTCCCCTGCCCCCAAACGCCCAAGCCCAGCCTCCTGAGACCCACCTGGGCCCTCCAGTGGCATCTGGGGGTTGCTCAGGGTCAGTACCAGGTCATCAGTCCCAAAGGCGGCAGCGGGGGGAACAGAGGCGAGAGTAGGGTCCTCGGAGCTGTACATGGCACTGAAGTAGTTACTGAAAACGTTGCTGATCTCACAGGTTGCAGCCATGAGGCTACCTGGGGAGAAAGGTGAGGCTGGAGAGGGGCCAGGGTCCTCCCCTCGCCTTCCTGCTCTACTGTTCTAGCCAACCTGGGGCGGCAGGAGCCGCAACACTGGCTCTGAGATCTCAGGACCGGGGCTTGGGGAGGCGGCAGGGGTGGTGCCCAGGCCTCCTGCTGGGCTCCCTCCTCAGCCCACCTGGGTCCTTGGGTGCAACTGTCAGTCACGGCCACACTGTCCCTCCCAGGGTCAGTTCCTGGCTCTGAGACCCTCAGGACGCCCCTCCGCCTACACTCCTGCCCCGGGGGTTCTACACTGCAGAGCCATGGGGGGGAGGCTTAGAACTACAAATCCACTAGCCCCTTCCTCAAAATTTCCCAAGGGGCAGGATGGGGAACAGGGCAGGTGGCGGTCCTACCAGAGTGGCGGGAGCGGGTGTAGCAGTCAGGCAGGTTTAAGGGACAGCAGCCAGAGAGAAATCCAGGAGGGAAAGAACTCCACCAGGTAATGCGGAGGCGTCTAGCCACGCTCCCCCCCCACCCTCCCTAAATAGAGGCCAGCGGGAGCTCCTCCCCGCGCGCGGGCCTTTATAGCGCGCCCCAGCGGTAACCCGAGCTGCTGGCTCATTGGACGGAGGGGATTTCCTGGCCTTTAGACTGGGCTCTTAGCCCCAGGTAATTTGCATATTTTGTGCCACTTGGCCGGGATCCTAGCAGGCGGTGCTGGGAAATCAGGCCCAGCTGGTTTAATCATTGTCCGAATCTGTCATCCTGCACCCTCTGGGGTTGGGCACAGGGTACTGGCCTGGGTGGGTGGCGGGAGAGCCACTGGGGTGGGCATCTGTACTTTCGGCCACCCTCTGGCTCAGGAAGTTCCTCTGAAAGCCAGGGCAGGGATGGGCTGTGGAGTGGGGGTTGGAACTGGATCGGAAATGCTGCTAGCCCCCTGAAATGTCTGGAGATCTGAGGACAAGGACGCCTGCTAGGGTGGGAAGATTTTAAGGTTGGGGATTTTTCCTAGGACGCCAGGGATTCAAGCTGGAAGGGCGTCCAAAGGAAATATTCATGGGTTCCTGGGTGGGGTCACGCCTGCTGGCCTAGCCCCTGGCCCCAGCATCCCCAGTCCCCAGTGTTGCACCCACTGGCTGGCATCTACTTTGTTGGCAAGATCTTGGCATTCTTGGCCTGCCCAGACGCCATCCAAGTCAGGGCTGCTGCAGCCACTTCTGGAAGGACTTGACTAGCAGAGTTCTTCCCTCGGACCCTGACAAGCCTTCCGTGGATATGCTGACCCCTCTTACCTGGTCTCTCCCCTGATCTCCACTCACTGGGCCCAGTTTACCAGTATCACCTGCTACCCTCTAGTGGTCAGAAGCCTGACTACCTGGGTCACGTCATTCAAAGAGAAAAGGGGATGCTTAGTATTAATTTACCATCTACCAGGCACCTGTAACCTAGTCTCCATTTAACCCTCACACACGCGCACGCACGCACGCATGCACACACAGATACACAGACACACACACACACACCTGCGAGGAATGTATGGCTACCCCCATTTCACAGATGAGAAAATTGCAGCCCAGAGGGGCTGGATGACCCGCCCGGCTGCCTGGAGCTAGTAAGCGCTGAGCTGAGGTTGAGATCCACCAGGAGTGCTCTTGCCCTATGCCATGCACCTGGCTCTGGGGTCCCCCAACTCCAGAGGTCTTGCCCTCTCAATGGGCAAAGTGAACCCTTCCTATGTGTGGTGCTCTGTATGAACTTGGCCTCCAACACAGGGGACCGTGTCTGATAGACCCACTGGAGATGCTGTGGGGTGGCAGCAAGGGGTAGTCAGGATGCAGGACTGGTGTTTGGGGGTCCCCCCAACTATGGGATCAGTAATTCCGTTTCCTCATCTATAAAAACAAGGTTTTGGCTTCATAATCCCTAAACTGTCTTCCAAATCTAGTTTTTCATGTGTCTAGAAGTATCTTTTTCCTCATGTCCTTCATTAATGCCACAGCTCCGAGCTGTTCATGGCCAAACGCAGCCTCAGTGGGTGAAACGGCTCCGCAGCTAAGTGACTCCACCTCCAGGGCGGCCCCTTTACCTCGGCAGCCCCGGGGACTAAGAAGTTCGCAGGGCATCTGTTTCTCACCCTCCTCGTCCCTGAAACTACTGGGTGTGTAGGAGAGAGGGTTAAGGTCCTGGGCCCCCAGCACTGGGCCAGGGGTGGCAGGCGAGTCAGGCTCTGGGAGCAGGATTTTCCCCAGCCCTTCAGGGGGCCTCCCCGAAGGAGCCTGAGGCAGGCACACCCTCCAGCCAGCCCCCGCCCTGGAATGCAGGCGAACCGGCTTCTAGCCGAGGGCTGCTCACGGGCTCCCTGGCCCCGGAGAACACCTGGCTAAGGCTCCAGAGGGTGGGATGAGATGACAGAGAAGCCCTTGCCTTCATGGGGCTTCACAGGAGAAATGGGGCTGAGGTAAGGAATTCCTACACGCCAGCACTTCACCTCCAAGCTGCGATCCCTTCAGCAGCGTAACAGCCAGCAACGCTGCCCAAGTAGGTGGGAAAGACTGAGCCAGGCAGGCAGTGCCTTGGGGGGAATGGGGTGGGGCGGGAAGTTCCGGGAGAGTGGTCAAGGCTGCTGGGGGGTGGGGAGGGGCCTTCCCAATGCCCTGCCCTCCCCACACAGCTGGCCCAGGCTGCAGCCAGCTTCCAGCGCAGGAGGTCCAGAACGTGCCTCCCAGCGCCTCAATGCTTACGGGTCTTATACAGACAGGGTTAAGGCAGCCCCTGATCTCACAGCTGTAAGCGAGACACCCACCTGGGGAGCGGGGAGGACCAGACAGTCCTTGCCTAAATATACTGCCAGGCACGGCCTTGCAATACAGCAACTGCTGGCTATCAAAATGCCGGGGCCTAAAGGAGCTCTTACAGTCCTGGGCCTCCACATCCCTTTCCTCAGACCCAAGGTCCCCTCTCTGCTGGTGAAACTGGGTGCGCCATGGGAGAGAGGCCCTCACCAGCCTGCCACTTGGTCTCCACTATTCCCCTGCTTTTGCCAGGAGGGAGAACAAGCCTACTTCATTGCCTCCGTTGTGTCAGCCCCTGTGCAGAGAAGGGAGGCCTGGACTGATGACCTCAAAGCCAAGGACACAGCCATGAATGGAGACTGGTTCAAAAGTGACCTGTATTTATGGAAGGTGACTTCAATATAGTCAAGCATTTCTTTGCAGCCCTTCCCTCATCCCACACCTCAGGCCCCGGTTGCTAATGGCTTAGATCCCCATGTTGAAGCCAGGAAATCAGAACTCGGTGCCCAGTTCTGAACAGACTCTACTTGTGACCACTGTGAGAACAGTTGCCCAGGAGCAAAGGCGGGTGAGGGAGGGATGGTAAGAAGGCGGGAGGGAGACACTAAAATGCATATTCTTTTAGCAATGGAAGGGATGAGCAGGAATGCTGCTGCGCTACAGAACTGAGCTGCCTTCCGAGAGAGCTGGAATGGGCTCCCTCGGCTGCGGCCGTGTCCCAGCCGTCCTGCCCCAGCCGTCCTGCCCCGTACGCTGCCTGCACGTGCGGGACCCCATCGCTCTGGTGCGGGACCCCATCGCTCCGGCCCGGGAGGTCCCGAGGCACAGGGAGATGCGGCCATCCTCGGGGTCTCCCCCAGGGGCCTTCTCAGAACACCTGCCCACAGAGGGGGCACCTGGGAGGACAAATTTCAGTCACTCAACACATTATCTCCTAAACACTTTTCATGTATTTATTAAACATTACACTTGAAAAAGAATGACTGGAACACAGCCCTTTGCACAGTACTTAGAAAATCAGGAAAAAAGAAAAGAAAAAGAAAGAAGGAAACCCTCTGCTCTTCCCCAGGGAGCAGGAAGGCGGGGAGGCCGCCTTCCCCGGCCGCAGCCCGCAGCCCGCACTGCGGACAGATGCCCAGCCCAGGGAGCAGACCCTCCTGGGGGATACACACTTCGGGAAGCTGGCTGGAGAAGTGGGATTTGGGAGCAATTCTTCGGAAAGCCTGCGACATCTGCAGCGGCAGAGGCCTGGCACAGGAGCCTCTAACTGCCCTTGGGCACCACAATCTGCTGCACGTAGTTGACAACATTGCTGTGGAGCTGGGAGGCGGTGGCCGTGAAGGTCTCCCTGGCAAGGGACCGGGCCGCCTCGCTGCCGCCCATCATCGCATGGTACAGTGGAAGGGTGTACTTCTGTTTCCCCTGCAGTGAACACACACACAGGCCTGAGCAGCCTGCTCGGCGACTCTGCCCGGCCCCTGCTCCCAGCGCCAGTCTCACAGCAGTTGTGGTCAGGGGCCACACGGGATGTGGAAGTGCTGGAATGAGCAGTTTCCCAGACACATGTGCTCTTATTCTGGCATCTTCCTGGGGGCCAAAGATTCATGCAGACAGATCTCAGTTTCCACTCCAGTCCACAATAGCAGAGGGGCATCCACACTCAACAAAGCAAATGTGGAGGGCCGGCACAACGGCGCTCCAAACTTGGAGCAAGCTGTAAGTGGCTAGCCACTGAGCTGGCAGCAGGTGGCAAAGGAGGCCCACACAGACCTGAGGGCCAGGAAGGTCCACCTGCTGCCAAGCGGAGGGGAATCCGTAAGCCAGAGGCACACCAACCAGAGACAGCTCGGCACAAGGCCTGGAGAACACCTCTGCAGCTCCCGCCGCGAACAGATGAGGACAGCTAGGCATCGCTCCGTCTCCAGCCCAGCGCCCACTCTGCTCTGCATCTGATGTCCTTCACCCGAAGAGACCCCGTCCTTCCCCAGCAGGGCAGCCCTCACGCGGCACCCAGGAGCCAGCTGGCATCGCAACCCTCTCAAGTCACAGGCTTCCCCAGGGAGAGGAACCTCTCACTCTGCCCTCCGCTTGTCGGTCTATCCCCTGGCCCCTCTCCAGGACCAGCCCTTGAGCTACGCATCAGCCCTTGTCTGAGGCAGGGGTTAGCTCTGGCCCTCAGGCCCCACCAGCGTATCTGCGGAAACCCCAGCCCGTGGGTCTCCCCAGGACGACGCCTCCTCCAGCCGCACTCACACACACTCACAAACACAACGGCAGAGCCGGGATCCACCTGTGGGTCCCCTGCCCTTGGGAGAAGGGCAGTCGGTAAGGCTCTATGCACAGGGTGCTGCCACGCCGGCTGGGCACCCACCTGGCTCTGCAGGAAACCCTTCACTTTCCAGAAATCTTCCTGGTGGTCGTTCTTGAGAACGATTTGGCCCCATCGTAGTCTCAGCTCTGCATTCTGGGCATCTGAGATCTTTGGGTATGTCTCCCCAAGTTTTTTCACATTCCCTGGAAAAAGGAAATGGTTAAAAATGACTCTGCCAGCAGACCCATGTGTCAGAGGCCTAACCCCATGATGGCCCGTTCTCAGAGACACAGTGTGTCTGTCCAAGGGCCTCCTGAGGCCGAGGAGGAACTCCAAGGGTCACCAACCGCCTGCTTTACTCTCGCCCTGCTCATTTTGCGCCCCGAAGTGTAAATTGTCCCAGTGACCAGGGCTCCTCAGGCTCGTCTGCAAACCTCCCGTAACACCACACTTCCAGCGATCATGCTGTCTCCTCCCCGTATTAAAGCACACCCACCCCCTAAAACACACCTCTTTCTCCTATGGCCGCCAACCTGCTCAGAGTCATCCTGCCTTTCACCTGTTTTCTGATCGACACCCCTCAGAGAACGTGATTTCTGAGTGAGCAGCAACACAGCCTTAGTGGTCCAGAGCTTCAGCCGACGGGGCCCGAACTCCAGCCCCACTATTTACTGGCTATGGGACCCACCTGGGCCTCATGTTCATTCCTCATTACCTGGGAGTTATAATCAGAGCACCTACCTCAGAGTAGTTATGAGGATTAAATGGCTTAACAGAGGCAAAGAGCTTAAAGTTACCTGCATAACTCCAAGACTCGGGGAATGCTAAGCTTTATTATTTTGTTCCCTGCCGCACTTGTGTGTATAACCTACATTGTTCTGTTGACACATTCCTGTGACGTGCTGTGTCCACTGGACCCTCCCTCCTACAGCCATAGCCGCCTCGGGGCGAGCATCACGTATGCTTTCGGAGTCTCCCTCCCTCTAGGCCCTGATATGAACCTCTGCACACGAGGAGCCTTGATTCGCCAGGCCCAAGACATAATTCCCTCCTTATTACCAGGCGGGAGAGGTGATTTCCGGAGGATCGTATCTAGAAAGTAAACCAGCTGGTAGGTCTTCCAGCTCGAGATGGCCACGGCTTCAATGGCCTTCATGTCCAGCGCCTCAGACGCCCAGAGCTCCGCCAGCTCTTCAGCAGGCTTCATAAGGGAGTCCCCAGGGGAGAGATCGGGGAGGTAGGGAGGCCAGCCGGGGGTGTGCAGCCATCGGTCAAATTCAAAACCTGTTGGGCAGAGGGAGAGAAATCCTGTTGGGATTCGCTGGCAGCATCACGGTCCCCCTGCCTAAGCAGCGCCCAGAGACCTCAAGCTCCTGATGGCCTCTTCATCCTGTCTCCAGGGGCCACCATCACTTTCCCACACGACTGCCTGCTCCAGCAGGGTCCCTACATGACACCAGGGACTGTCACAGGTAGACCGGACCTGCCTCCCTCTCTACTGGGACCCAGGGTTTTCTGCTCCAAATGAACGCTGTGTTGAGAAACAAGCAGACGGATGCTTTCCCTGCTTCATTCAAGTTCACGTTCACCTTCAGATGACATCAGAGCTGGGCAATGGGGCTCTAGCGCCAGGCTGCCTGGGTTCTTTTCCCGGCTCTGCTGCGCTAGCTGGGAGACCACGGGCATGTTACATACCCCTCTACGCCTCAGTTTCCTCTGTAAAATGGGAACTGTGAGGATTCCAATATGCATTAAGTTTGGCATGCTGCCTGGTGCATATAAGCACTCAGTAATTATTAACTATCACTCGCTGCAGAGCCTCATGACCTTGAAACATGGGCCCCAACCAGACAGTAGGTGCTGAGTCTGACCAATCCCAGCTGACTTCCCCACAGCAACAGCGGAGTGACTCAGAGGTCACAGCATGAGGCAGGGCCGCGTCTCTGGGGTGACATGCTGTTTTCCACTCTCCTTCAGGAAGCAGTACCTCCCAAGCCGAAATCAGGGCATCCTTCGGGATTTTCCTTCGCCCAGAAGGCGGTCTGAAGTGACGCCACGCTCTCAAGGCAGGGACTGCGGCTGCATCTGGGCAGTTCGCCTGACCACGTGTGTCCAGGCACCAGGGGCGAGCGGAGAGCAAGGACACGCGGCGGGGAGGGGAGGCCCAGGGGGGCTGCGAGGAGTCATGCCTGGGAATTGGGACCTTGGTTTCTTCCCAAAGTGCCACATACTAGATTCAATGTCTTCCCAACCCACCTTAGTCTTTCCAAGGGTAAATCAGAATTCTCTACTATCTCCTAGAAACCTGCGGGCCAGAGCTCACCTGGAATGGAATCCACTCTCCTTTTCTTTAGCTCAGGGAAATATTCCAAGTAGAATTCCAGAAAGTCATCAGCTAAGATACTTTGGAACTTGAATTCATTAACATAGGCCTGTGAGGAAGGAGAACTCCAGTTACCGTGAATTCCGTGGCAAGTAGACCCTGTTTCTGTTTCCCTCCAGCCTATGCTCAGGCCCAGCTGCTCCGTCTGCTCCCCTTCCCTCTCCCCTCATCTCTGAGGCAACGGTACCTTGAGAAAATTGTCAAACTGATCCTGGTCACCCACCAAGTGAGCCAGGTATGAGACAAAGCAGAAGCCTTTCTCATAGGGGGTCTCATTGTAGGTGTCATCCGGGTCAACACCTGCAGAGAAAGCAGACACGTACAGCCTGTCGCCTCAGGGATCTTCTCTAGCTCCAGACCCAAGGCCTGACCATTGAGAGAGATCAGAAGCCAGCATCAGGGACTGTTTTCAGATCCATGTTGGCCTCTCTCAAGGCATGTCAAAAAGCGCTCTTAAAGGGCCATTAACTACGGACCTAAGAAGAAAAGAGATGGGCCTCTGTGCCTCCTCCAGCCCAACTGGCCACGACCTACACTCAACCTCCCCTCCAGAACAATGGGCTGTTTCTAGGAATTTGCTAGACGAAGATAAACTAACAGTCTGCAAGTTCATGTTCACGGTCAGTGGCACCAAGGAACGTGAGCTTCAGATGCACAAAAAGGTTTTAGATTAGTCACACATGGAACTAAGCAAAAATGCTAGAAAACAAAATGCATGAGCTTGGACAAGTCACATAACTTGTTTGGTGCTCAGTCACATGCTCCGTAAAATAGGCTAATACTCACTCTACAAATCTCACAGGTCTGCTTTGACCTGAAACGGAATGGCAAAGAGCCTCGTAAAGTGACAGGGACCCATGTGAATCCAAAGCAACCGTAAGCCATTAAGGGCTGCGCAGAATCAGGCAGAGCTCCTTTCTGGCGGGAATGGCTAAGAGCTCTGGAGGGCTTTTCCCTCCCAAGGAGAGTATCTAGGAGTGCAGCAATCAACATGAAGCTTGAAGTAACTTGGGGCTCCACGTTCAGTTTCGGGGAGGGGGTGTTGGACAGAGGCCTGCTGGACCTGGTTCGATCTTCACTCGGAGCTTGTTGAGCGGGTGGTCCTCGCCAGTGATGTCCATGTGCTGCCGCAGCAGAGCCCGCCCTGCTGCAGCTTCCAAGCAGGTGTAAGCCGCCCCTGGGACAGAAAGAAACGACAAATAGGCCCCAGCAGCGTGACCACATCTAAGTGCATTTTCCTAACGGAAGAGGTTGTGCTGCCCCCTTGTGACCACAAGAACAACAACGGCCACCTGAAGGTTAACTCTTGTCACCTGTCACCTGAGGTCGCAGAGTCACTGACAGAGGACCTGGCTCAGCCCCAAGCTTCCTGCTGCTCTGGGCTACAAAGGACTTGGTTAGCTCAGGCGCTGGTCCCTTCCCTATATGGGGGACGACACACTTTTTCCTCTGACAGTTACCCTATCTTGTCAATCTATTTTTATTTTTAGAGACAGCAATTTGATCTTTGAATACAGATTTTTGTCTGACTTCCTGTCAGACAAGAGAAACTGTCACCCAAAACTTCTAAGGGTCTCTACATCTCCTCCTGTCTCTAAAAATGACTGAGGGGATGGTGGAGGGAGGAGTCAGGGACTGGATTTCTGAGCTGGCCACTTCAGCCACCCTGAGATGCTCTGACTCTAGGCAAGTTACGTCTTTGGCCTCAGCTGCCCCGCCTGCACAGTGGGATAACGTATCTGCCTGCAGGATTCTTAGTGGCTGATTAAGACATTCACAGACAGGCTCCTGCTTTATGTAGTCTGGATGAAAGCACACATTTGTTCTAACTTTCTGGGAGGCAATGGGCAATATGTGTCAGATTCAGAAAGTATACTTCAAGGAATTTATGTTATTGAAATCATCTGAGATATGCATGAGCATTTATATGTAAGGATGTGTATCAAAATATTTCATTGGAAAATTGAAAACTTATCTCCTGGAGATGGAATAAATTATGAAACATTGAGACTATATAGCTATAGAAGAAAATTTAGACTTGGGAAAATGCTTAACTTTATTATGTTAAAGAAAAGACCACTGTAAATCCATGTAGATCTGGTGATTCACACACACCCATAGAAAAATGAAAGGGCATACACTGATTATCTCTGAACAGTAAGATTATGGGTAACTATTTTTTTGGTGTTTTTTTCACATATGCCAAATAGGTTTTGATCAGAGAGATAATAAAACTAACTTTTGTCTAGCCCTCTGTGGCCTTTCACCAGAGCTTTCTGCGCCCTTCATGCCCACTTGAATCCTGAAACCTGAGGAGATCACGGTGGCTTCAAAGGCTGAGGAACGGGGTACAGGGTCCTCAGGAGAAGGATGGGCCCCTGAGCTGGCTTACCAAAGAGGACAGTCGAGATCCTCCGCTGGGCATACATGGTGAAACCCTCATTGAGCCAGAATTCACCCCAGTTGGCATTGGTGACCAGGTTCCCAAACCAACTGTGAGAGATCTCGTGGATGATGACATCAGCTAAGGAGCGGTCCCCAGCTAGCAGGCAGGGGGTGACAAAGGTCAGGCAAGGGTTCTCCATTCCTCCAAATGGAAAGGATGGTGGCATGAAAAGAAGGTCATACCTGCCAAGAAAGCAGGAGGTCACAGAGAAGCCGCACCTTCTGCCAGGCCAAACCCTGCCTCACATACTCCCGCCACAACTTTCTTGGCCTCCTTCGGAGCCCAGAGCCACGCAGCCACCGAGCAGGCAGTGCGCGGCCCCCGCCCAGGGCTGACGGTGATGCCCGCGCTCCTCGGGCCTCCAGCCAATGCGTGGGGGCTTCCCAGTCCCAGGTCTGTCCTCTCAGAGGTGGCTCTGGGCCCTGTCCTCCCAAGTCACTCAGCTCGAGGGTGGCCAACGTGGGGTCACAGAGACCAAATGGAGCCTTTCATCTAAGGAGCCTAAAGTCTGAAGGTGTCAAAGGGAAACATGGAGGGTGTGGCAACCAGGAAGGACAGGCCGGCAAGGCCCCCAGCCAGGGTCTCTCGGGCCCCAGACTCAGCCGACAGTGAGGCAGCTTTTTGCACCAACAGCCTTCACTCCGGCTCCCTCCTCAGCAGCAGTGACGAGGCCGGGCTTCTCTCCTCCTCTCCCCTCCCCTCCTCCCCTCCTCTCCTTCTCTCCTTCCCTCCCGGGGCCTGGAGGGCCTGTGCCTGGAGAGGGAGAGAGTGGGAAACCAGGGGCTCTGTGAACGAAGGGCACCGAAGTTGACGTGACACCACACCTTCCCCAGATGTAGGGTCCAAAAAGTCTCTCTCCGGTTGCCAGAAATTCTTCTAGGACCCCATCGTACTCCTCCCTGGCAGCCTCGATCAGGCAGGGCTCCGCCCACACCCGGCTCCTAAAGACAAGAGCACACAGAAAGCAGAGTGGCATCTGGAGACCGTCTCAGGGACCCCATCCTGAGGGCACCTATAGAAAATTGGCGTCAGTCTTGTACCTGAGACAAACGACTGTGACAGTGGAGAGACAGGAGACGCAAGACCAGATCCCCTGCCAGATCCCATGGACTGCTCCCCACCCTGGGAAACAATCCCAGACAGCCTCTCGGAGGTGGTGGCTGCCCGCCATACACGACAGGCTCAAACCCATGGCGCTATGATTTTACTTTGTTTTCTCCAGCACCTGATGTGACCTCACAAAAGTTATTTGACCTCTCTGACCCTCAGTTTCCTCATCTGTAAAACAAGCGGCAAGGATGAAATCAGGCAGCACATCAGAGCCCTTCACACAGCGGCGGGCACGCTCGATGCTGGCCTTTCTCCCTACTTTCAGGAGCAATGGAGGAAGGCTTCTCACAGCAGAATTCTTGGAAATAAAGGAACTGTAGAGAACTATTAATGTTAATAGAAAAGTGTTAACTGTCTTAGATACCAGAATGGTATTGTAGGACTATAATGATATTATAAGAATGTCTTCATTCTTAGGAGAGGCATCCTGATGTACTTGCTTTTAAATAGTCTAGCAAAAACAAAACAAATTCACACACAAATAAAACCAATTTGGCAAAATTGGATGGGTATACAGGTGTTCAAAGCATTATTATTTCAATTTTCTACATGAACATTTCATAGTAAAAAGAAGGGGAAACAGGTGAAAAGGGGGAAAATCAAGATCTAGTTCAGGGGACAGTTGGGGCTGATGAGGTAGGTGATTAGCCTGAGGTCATTTGCTGAATTCTAGGAAGAGCTGACCTCAGAACCCAAGGGTCCTGTAGCCAAAGAATGTGCCCTGGCCGAGGGTCCCAGGGTGCTCCATGAACCGTTCTCCCGCATGGACACCCTGAAGGGAGACACAGGGACCAAATGGATGGGTCTGAGGACAGATGCAGGGAAGGCTTCCTCTTTGCCCCTGCAGAACCCCAGGAACTATTCTGACAGGAGAACAGGGAGCAAAGTCAATGCTTCCCAAGCAGTAGAAACAAAGGGTTGGCAGTGGGATACTTGCTCTGCGAGGGTCCACCAAGCATCCAGGGCCCTAGAGTGTCCACTGCCAGATCGGGGGCGGGCAGAAGGGGGCGGAGGGTGGGGCAGGAGAGGCCCTTATATGCCAGGTGACACGCTGAACCTTCAAAGCCCGGAACACTTTAAGGCAACAGTGATACTATGAGATGAAGTTCTGAGAGAGCTCACTCCAGCTACAGCACACAGTACATACTCAACTACGTGAGTGAGTCAGTGTCCCCAAGAGCAGCACATAGGAGAGAGAAACGGGTCAAGGACAAAATCTTGGGAAGCACCAACCAATACCCATGGGGCTGGGCAGAGGAGAGACCAGGAAGGATTAACCAGGAGGTCCCAGAACCAGGACAGAGTCGTGTCACGGGAGCCAGAGAGAGGAGGGTCAGCAGAGGCAGGTGAAAAAGAGCAGAGCGCCGAGACGAGGGCTGAAAAGCATTCACGTGTGGTTGGCGTAGAGGCCGCGCTCGCTTATTACAGGAGATCCAGGGCATGAGGGGTGGGGGCTGGAGTCCAACAGGTGGAAGCAGTAAAGGGAGAAGGGGCGGTAAGTTTACCTGCTAAGAAATTCAGCTCAGAAGGGAGGGAGAAGGCAGGGTGCTGGAAGGAAGTGGAGTCACTGAGGTTTGGGTTTGAATTTGTTTTTTGCTCTGTTTCAGCTATTGGAGATGGGGGCGTAGTTAGGGGTTGAGCTAAAGGAGGGGGAGGCCCTGCAGACTTGAAGAGAGAGAGGTAAACATGAGGCAAAGCCCCAGGGAACAGGCGAGGGTCTGCATCAATGGCCAGGATGATGCAATTTGGGTTCAAACAGAAGGACAGACCCCTCCTCAGAGTCCGGAGGGAGAAAGGGTAGCAGAAAGCAGAAAAGATACTTTCTACATGGAGGACAGGAGGCTGACAGAATCCTATCTGATGGCGTAAATATGCTCAATAGAGTGGACGACAGATTATCTGCTGCGAGTGCAGCTGTCTGGAGTCTTAGTTTAAGGAGAGTGAGGTCGGAAGTAAATAAAAGGACCACTGAGCAATACTGAATGCATGTCTGTAGCAGAAATCATTTGTATTTTTCCTGAAAACCACACAAACGTCTATTTCAACTTTTCTTTAATTTCAACTTTTCACCACGAAAGCAGAAATGTGTAGTGGTGGCAGTCTGCACCGTTTCCCTATTCTCTCCATCTCTCAAATACCCAGGCCAAGCTGGGCAAAAAGGGAACTGCCAGGCCCAGAGAGGCTGCCTGCAGGAGCTGGAGAAGCAGATACAGTGGGGACATTATGGGAGGGAGGCCACCAGAGGGCTGAAAGGTTAGCAGCATGATGTCAGAGGATGAATGGGGCCAAGGTGTTTACCATTTCGGATATGGTACAGATCACACAATGCCTACGTGCAAGACCTAGATTCTAGACTGTGAGAGTGTGGCCTCGAGTGCGGCGGGCTGAGTCGGGTGCATTAGTCTCCCTGAGCAGAGGAGGTTGAGAAACCCCAAAGCCACCCTCAACCCCTGACTCTGGAAAAAAAAAGTCACCAAAAATGATATGACAGGGCACCAGGTGAGAAAAAACCACATAGAAGTCAAAGTCTTCACTACTCTGTGGACTGGTCGGTTACCCCCTCGGACATCAGAATTAGGAATGTCCTCCAAGCAGGCTACCTCGGCTCGACTTGCTACAGCTGGAAGGTGAGGACCGGTCCAGACAGGGGATGTCTAAATACTTGCGCCAGGACATCTATGCCCATCAAAGAAAGCAGAGTGCTCAGTCACGCCGGAGTCTCATCACTGGCTATCTAGTGCAAGAAGCACTGGGTCTACAACAGAAATACCTGAATTGGAATTCCAGTTCTGCCAATGACATGACTTTGCACAAGACATTTCCCCAAAGCCTCTGTTTGCTCATCTACAAAACGGCAACGTAACCATCTCCCTCACTGCCGCTGTGTGAGGATGAGGTAACACATAAAAGGGACTATGGGGATTTATCTATTACTCTCTTCTGCTCAGGACTCGCTTCCTGCAGTGACAGGGACCGGGACTGGTCATCCTTTGTGGGAAGAACCTCCCATCTAACATGCCCTCACACGACCCTAGGAGGGACCCCTGAGGCAGGGACTACCTGATGGGGGAAGGAGTAAGTCATCACCACCAGTTAAATGGATTATGTCACCTGGACTGAAGTCCTGTGCTGTCATTTGATTACAGAAGGTTCAGAACAGTCATTATCATCCAGGGTGTTTAGGACATACTGTTCCTTCACTGCCCATCAATTGTTCATACTCTCACTAACAGAACCTTGTTAAGATTAAATTCTCTAAAATGGCATTCCTTCACTTATTTTCCTGTCAACAGCAAAGCTGACGTTGCTCTGGTTACCTACTCTCCCGACCATCAGGAAGACAGCCCTATGGAAAGCTGAGTACCTGCCTTCCGACAGGTGTGTGCTCACCGTGGAATCCCATCTGCCATTCCCCTGATCCCCAGGAACTAAGGTTCAGGTTCCCGGCAGTGCTGCTCAGCCCAGCTACGAAGTCCAAGGACTGTTACCTAATCCTGTAAAGGATACCAGCACCTGCAAGCGCAGAGAACAGGGCCAGAGATAATGAACAGCCACAGAAGCAGGGACAGTGTCCCAGCTTTACTGGCCAACCTTTGACCCTCTCACATTAGGATTAAGCTATACCGGCAGGTAATGTGACTGCCAGCAAAAACCCATACTCCCAGTCAGGACACCTGACAAAATCCGCATTTATCTCCAATAAACCCATCTAATTTCACGGAGGTACCTCTGTCACCAGAGGATCAGGTTTATGCATCTGGAGCAGACAAGAAAGGAGCTTCCACTTTCCTCCCCAGAGGGAAACAGTGAGATCAAAGTCAAGTATTTCCAGGAATTAAATGCTAGAGAAAATGGGGAGATTTGGTACAAAGATAAAAAAGCAAATATAGCTCTGCTTGAAGGAATTTACAACTTAAGGATACTAATAAAGCTGAATCCTTTAAACTGCTGCCTAAGTTGCAATCTCACTCTACAAGGTGGCCCAGGACAGCAGTTACTGCTGGCTAGCAGCACTGACGGGCTCTTTCCAGGCAGCAGGATTAGAACGGAGGGAGGGACGGAAGGAAGGAAGGGAAAGAGCACTTCTCCAGCTGTCCTATGCCACACGCTCTCTGCTACAGAAAGGCCATGCACTTAGAGAGGACCGAGGCTGCCCCAAGAACCACGCCACCAGGTCAAGCCAACTTTACCTGCGGGGTCTGTGTCTCCTACCTGGGTCCAACTTCAGCAGAAACCAGGTCTCCGATGGCCAAAGCTATCAGATAGGAGGGGACGGGGTGACACATCTGGAAGAAGACCTTATTTGGACCTCTTTCCTCCCAGCTGTTAGCACTCATCACAGCCGTGAAGCCATCTGGGACCTGACAAGAGAGAAAGCTTAGGGGATCTCACCTAGGCAGAGCCCGCTTTTGCTCAGCTTAAAGAATAACACGACAAGCAACCTGCATGGCGGTGTTAATGACCAGAGTCCATCTTGAAACAAAAGCTTCAAGAAACTAAACTGTGCGAAAGTCATACAATCTGACACAAATAACATTTCTGTAGGTGAAGGAAGCCTTCAGAGGTACCACTGGATGGATGTAATACTTCAAGTGACACATGACCTGACAGAGCTGAAATTATATTTTCAGTCCCCAAGGCGGCACACTGAACCGTAGCTCTCTTACCTCAATGAGAGCTGAGTACGTGTATTTCACGGCAGGAGTATCGAAGCAAGGGAAGAAAGCCCGGTTCAGGACAGCCTGACCCTGGGTATAGACAAAGGGCTTCTTCTTTCCTGCTGTCTGCTCAGGAGCCAACCAGCAAACCTAAGAGAACGGAAGAACATTTCAGAACTGACACACACACTGCGTGAGCTCTGCCCGGCCAGAGGAAAGCAGCTGGCTGGCATGGGAGAATTTTAGGGAATCCTTACAGTCCTTCTGCCAGCCAGTTTGGCTCTAAAATGCTCCCTGCTAATGTGTATTTAATGCACCCTGGAATCCATGACAAGGTGTGACTTCACAGGACAGACCCCACAAAGGGTCCATTCCTCACTGTATCCCATGGGTCATCTTGAGAATTCCAGACCTGGCCTCTGACCCCTTTCATCCTGTCTTCCTTCTCTGCATCTTTCTCACTGTAGTGGTTCCTCATGGACAAAAATAAAAACAATACAGCTGTATTTGAATGTGGGATAAAAGACACAGAAAAGCAGAACTAACCTGGGGGGGGTGTCCATGACTAATATGTTCTCCATTCCTAACATCGACCATGCACTGGCTAGGATTTTTACTTTGTTTGTTAGTCCTCGGCCGAGGGCAAATCTGAATGCTTATAAGAAAGCCAGGTTTTGCCTACAGCAAAAAGTTCACTTACAACATAGATATAACTGTGCGGGGAATGAGGATATGTCAGCACCAAACATAACTTTAGAAAAGGATTACAGGATTCTGGGAAGGTTTCACAGGGAAAGCAAAACTTTCTGGTTCAAAGTGGAGTAGGATTTATGTTTGGAAAGGAAGGGAGAAGACATTCCCAAGAGGGTGGGTAGTAACATGAAGAAGGGCAAGGGTGGGAACTGGTGACCGTTTCAGGTGGGAGGTGTGCCCAGGCAGGCGTGGCGTGGGGCTCTGAACTCAGGCATTGAAATCAGTCTGTAAGAGGCGTTTCGATGCCACCTGGGGAAGCTGGCTTGCTTTGCTTGGAATTTGGTTTGTGTGTGTGTGAAAATTCAATGAGTCTCTTTCCAAAGAGTACAGTACAGATGGAAAGAGGGAGAAAGGGAGTAACTTCACAGTGGAGAAATTGCACAAGCACTACCAGGCGACCAAGGCCATCAGTCACGAATCATGTTGATACTATGGACGCTAAATATGTGACTAATGTGGCACTCTACCTTTCTGAAATTCCCCTCAGTTTTGCTGTGAATCTAAAGTGCTCTAAAAAAATAAACCCTATTAATGAAAAAAAAATTGATGAGTTGACAATCAGAGCTACACCACAGGGACCTCACTAGATAGCTGGCACTGCATTAGGCACTTACAGGACAGCTCATTTAACTTCTGTCTGGCACTAGACCCTTTCCATGGCACATCTTATTCAATATTGGCCATTATTCCCTCCACCACAATTCCTTACTCCTCATCTTTGCTTATTTATTTTTTTGATGACATGAAAAGAGAATGGAGGCGGCTGGCAGTACATACGCTACAGAGAGTCTGAAGTGACGCTGCTACCTTTGGGATTAGCTGAGAGCCCTCACCGGGGTGGTGGAAATGAGAAAGAATAAATACAAGTGCCATACAAATAAACACAAGTGTGACAGTGCAGAGGGGAGATCTTGGTAAAGCACAGATCTCTGCCATTATGACTTGAATTAAAGCTATTTAGTTTTGATGTTTAATTTGATGTTAAATTTGAGGTGCCACCTGCAGAGGCCATTTTTATAGTTCTATAGTTTAAGTTAAGGGGGGCTACAGTAGAACAGAGCAGCAGGGGCATTTCCAGGAGTTGCTTTCCCCGGGGGGGCCCTGGGATCGCCTCTGCCCTAGAGGTCCCTTCGCATTGCTTTGCACTTTGGTTTTTCAGACAAGTTCTATTGTGCTTCACTTATTCACCGAGTAGTGAAAAACGGAATTAGAACAGCCCTTTGAGCCAGTTCTAAGAACAAACTGGCTAACTTCAGTTGCAGGCAAGCCGCCTGTGAAATTTGTACATCACCTTATCCAGGAAACGACTAGCAACCACAGCCTCAGGCCTCTCGCGAAGGCTTCCCCGACCCTTAGCCGATGGGGGCACAGAAGCTTCCACCCTCTCACTGCCAGCGTTGGCTCCCCTGTCCCGATTTAAGATTTAAGAGTCAATCAGCAGTGAGAAGGCCAAGCTATTGTAAAGTCTAGTACATTAATTCCACTTCCCACTTTTACTCAAATTCTCTAGTTCATCAAATCCAGGGCTTCACAGAAGGGAACAACTCCGGGGTTCAGAGCTGCTTCCCCCTGTGCCCTGGAAGCAGGAGGCCGCACAGGACCAGGGGCCGAGTCAGCCTCCGGGGCTAACGAACCAGCAGGAATTAATTAGCTCCTATTCGGGGACCTAACCAAACCCCGTGAAGATCAAGTTCAGTTTATGACCAGCTCTTCATCCAGAAAGCCGCGCAGGATAAGGTCACTCGGCCCGCAGAAATGGAAACCCGGGACGGCGGTGTGTGCGGACAGGAACGGGGAACAATCCGGACGAGGCCCCGCAGTGGCCGGGGGGGCGAGCGCGGAGGGCTGGAAAGCGCGGCGGCCGGAGCGGTCGGCAGCCACAAGAGGGAAGCTGGGCCGGCGCGCAGGAAACGCGGGGGCAGGCGAGGCGGCGCGCGCGGGCGTCCCGGGCCCCTCCTTCCCCGGCGCGGGCTGGGCACTCACCCCGGGCCCCTCCCCGACGCGGTAGGTGAGCAGCAGCTGGAAGCGCTCGCCCGCGGGCCGGGGCTGCGGGAAGCCCACGCACAGGGCCTGGCCGTAGCGCGAGAAGGGCCGCGTGTGGAAGGGCACGGGCTCCGCGGGCGCCTCCGAGCCGGGTCGCTCGCGCCGCAGCGCCGCCGCCGCCACCTCGAGGCACGGGTGCGAGTCGAGCCGCAGCTCACTGGCGCCCTCAGGCACCAGGCAGCGCAGCTCCAGGACCGCCGTGCCGCTCAGCCCCCGGCTTCCCGGGCCCGGCCCCGGCAGTCCGAACTCGGCCCTCAGGTCCAGATGCAAGTGCAGCATCTCGAAGGCCCGGAAGCTGGAGGCCGAGGCCACGTCCACCGCCTGCGCCGAGTGCAGCGGCCGCGGAACCGCGCGGTCGCCGCCTGGAGGCTCGCCGCTCGCCATAGGGGTCTCGCCGCGCTCCGCTGGGTCTCCTGCTCGGCGCTCCGGAACGGGAAGCCCCGCCCCGAGCGCCCCGGACCCAAGCCCCGCCCACCACCAGACCACGCCCCGCACCTGGGCGGGGCCCGGCCACGCCGCGCTCTCCGGCTCTCTGCCGTCCCCCTGGGCTTTGCCCAGACAGCGGTGCACAATTCGATCCACGCTTGCCCGAATTCATCCTACGAGATGTTACAGCGTTCCGAGTGGCACACTCCCCTCCGCTGTCGTTCCTGTTTCCTTACAGGAAGGCAGCAGGTTGTACTGGATTGAGCCCTGAATTAGGAAGGGTCTAGGTTCGACCAGGGCTGTGCGCCACCTTGGGCAAGTCTCTCGCGAGAAAGGGGTTTCTGCACCTGTAAAATAGGAGTAGCATCTATCTCATGAGTTGCGAGAACTCAGTCAGGTAATGTGGCTAAAAAGACTTGGTAAACAGCACAGAATTCCACACCAGATCAATGTTCGTCCCCCTGGGATTCCAGCAGTACTCGACTCAGCACGGCACAATGGAGCGTTCGCCACTTTATCTCCCTTACTGTGTTATGAAGAAATGGAGCTAAGAAACCTGCTTTTCTATATCAATGGGTCGCAACAGCCCTTCTGTGAATGGGAGGGATGTTTTTACTGACCAGCTAGGATATGAGATTTTTAAAAAGACAATATAGTGAGTTTTTCACAAAAGGAACTAGTATCCTATTTGTTTCCTAGTTTGTGTTAAAATATATTTTATTTTCTGAAATGCTTATGGTAGATATTTTAAATTCCATATGAGATCAATTTTTTAACTTACTGTTAGTGAAATCCAAAAACTTCAGAAAACCACTTTCCTGTGACATTGAACATAATACTTGGTTTATCTATGAGAGATGTAATACATCTACCTTCAAATTATTCATTCTCTGGTGCAATGCATTTTTGGATCTTCATTACACACCAGCCATTAGGCCGGGTCTGGGGATATACTTTTAATAAGCCTGGCACAGTCCCTATGCTTGTGGTGTTCAGTCTAGCTCACATTGTAACTTACAGACGAGAAAACAAGTCGTAACAATTCCATGTGCTGTGCGATGATCTTGGAAGAACAAGATGCCATGAGAACTCAAGGGAGAGACACCCAGCCTGATCTTTCCAGTTAAATATTGCTGATGGAGAGGATTATTCTTGGGTGTAGGGTAAAACATTTATGGAGTTACAATGTTTGTTTAGTGTTAACTTCTTTCTGAGAATATGAGTGGCCTCATTCCCGTGTTCTCATTTCTTTTTCCCTGAATGGCTCCAAGTGTCAGTGTTTACCTCTAGATGGTGGTGTAACAATTCACTCAGCAGAGATATTTAGGATGACTGTCTCCTGTGTAGAAAGGAGACACTGTGGACACAACCCACTTCTCCCCAAATTGTTTACTTTTGGATGTAACACATCTTTGATATTTCAAAGTTGATGGTTGAAAATCTTCTAGAATGGATGAAAAGCATGACTCTATAGATTTAAAAGTCACAATAAATCCCAAGCAGAAAAAAAAAACAAAACATAGATCTACATATACATGTTTTAGTTAAATTAAGCAAAACCAAGACAAAAAGATAATCTTAAGAACAGCCAGAGAAAAAAAGAACTTATCAAAGAATGACAATTGGAAATTGGACCAACACCAGACCTCTCATGAGCAACAGAGGCCAGAAGGCAATTATCTTCAAAACACTAAGAGGGAAGAAAAAACCTGTCAACTTGGAATTGCATACCCAACTAAACTATTATTCAAAATGGAAGACAAATAGATTTTTAGATACTAATAATAAATGTTTACTATCAATAGACTCCCACTGAAGAAATTCTAAAGGAATTATTTCAAGGAAAATAATCACAGGAGGAATGAGGTGCAAAAGGAATGGTGTGCAAAAGAAAAAAGTGGATAAATTGAAACTAACATTGTATAAAACAAAAATATATTGATAGTTTGTGTGAGAGAATCAGGGTAAGATGGAAATATTAGACGAAGAGTGCATACTTATGAAGAGAGGAGTTAGAGTATTCTAAGCTCCTTGTATTATTAAGAGGAAAGCAGATTTAGGGATAAATGTGAGATTTTCCAAAGTAGATATATTAAAATTTTAAAGGAAACCACTTAAACAATATAAATGCAATATAACTCACAAACCAACAAATGAGAAAGCTGTGGAGTATTTTAAAAATCAAGGGAAAAGAGGGTATTATGCTCAGTGAAATAAGTCAGGCTGAGAAAGACAAATACCAAATGATTTCCCTCATTTGTGGAGTATAACAACGAAGCAAAACTGAAGGAACAAAACAGCAGTAGACTCACAGACTCCAAGAAGGGACTAGTGGTTACCAAAGGGGAGGGTGGGATGGGGGAGGGAGAAGGGGATTGTGGGGTATCATGCATGATTGGTGCACATGATGTGTGTGAGGTCACGGGGAAGTCAGTGTAGCTCAGAGAAGACAAATAGGGACTCTGGCATCTTACTACACTGATGGACAGCGAGTGCAATGGGATATGGGGGGGGGACTCAATAAGGGTGAATGTAATAACATTGTTTTCTTGTGAAACCTTCATGAAAGTGTCTATCAATGATACCTTAATAAAAAAAAAAAAACCCAAGGGAAAAAAAGGAAAAGAGTGGGACAGGATAGTAGTTACCCCCAGGTTGGGGAGGCTTCTGCCTGTCTGGGATGGCAAAAGTTCATAAATGCTTAGATGAAAATTACGTGTCAATGTTCCAGCTCTCATACTGGGGGATGTACCTAATAACATAGACTCAAAATATATAAAACAAAAATGAACAGAATTACAAGGGAAAAAGGACAAATCCGCTAACAGAGAGGAGCTTTATATACCTCTCTCAATAATGAACAAAAGTTATACACAGATAAAAGATCTGTACAAAAATGTCAGTTTTGACCTATCAAAACACACAAAACTCTGTACTCTCTTACAGATTATTTCTCTAAGGCTCATAGAAAAGATCAGAAAGAGTCTCAAGAAAGTGTTTGTTCTGCAGATCAGGCAGAATGGAACAGCCAGAGCTGGAAGAGAAAAAACTCCACTGTGTGCTTTTGCCTTAAATACAAACCTTAATTTGTGGGAGAAAGGCACAAACACTGTCATCCTTAGGGTGCAGGTAAAAACTCATAGCAGTTGGGAGAAGGGAACAGGAAAAAGAAAATTTATCCCAGGTGGAGAGGCAGGGGTATGCGCTGGGCCAGGGAGGAGCAGGAACAAATGAGAAGGCTGCTCTCCTGGGACCCAGACACATGATTCCTGCCTAAACCTAAGGCTTAATCAGAACAAGGACCACCCCCCAACCCCACTCCCAAGCTAAACCTCTAGGAACAAGACTGGAATACCAGTGGGAGAGGTGCAGAGAAGAGCAAGGGCAGGCAGAGACCTTCCCTCAGGTGCACATAGAAGACCTGAAGCTGAGGGTCGACGTGGTGCTGATAAGCACCCACCCTAAACCCCAGGTGTCACCACAGGAATTTGAAGTCCATGGTGACCTGAAGGTAACTGCAGCAACAACAAACGTCAAACCCAAGCAGAGCACCGATCACATGACCTCCACCCACGCCCTGCCCCATTACAGGCCTCGCAAGAGGAAAGGTTCCCACTTTCAGACACAAATGTTATTTATATACCTCCGTGTCCAGATGTCTGACTTAAAAAGAAATTGAGACATTTAAAAACATCAGAACTAGATACACATTTGACCTAGACATTGGGACATGGAATTGAAGACAATTATATTAATATGTTAATGACTCTCATGGAAAACATGCAATACCATGGAAGATAAGATGGGTATTTTCAGCAGAGAGATGGAAAACATAAAAAAAAAAAAAATGAACATGCTAGAAATGCAAAACACAATGCTGGATATGAGAAATGCCTTCCCTGAGCTAATGGGCAGACTCAACACAGCCAAGGAAACAATCAGGTAAGTCAGTAGGAATTACCCAACTTTAATACAAAGGAAAAAAAAGAGGGTGGGGAAAAAAAAGACATCTAAGAGCTGCTGGATAATACCAAGTTGCCTAACCCATGGACAACTGGAATCCCAGAGATGAGAGAGAATGGAGTTTAAAGAAATAAATGGCTAGTTAATTAAAGAACACCTTCACATATTACATTTTTTAGTATTTTTAAAAATACAAAAAGAGAATCTTGAAGATAGCCAGAGTAAGAGACAAACAGAGGAACAAAGATAAGTACAGCAAATTGCTACTCAGAAGTGATGCAAACCAGAAAACAATGAAGTGAAAAACCCTGTTAAACTAGAGAAAAAAACTTTATTTTTAGTGAAGAGGATATAAGGTACTTCTGGGACAAAAACTGAGGGAATTAATGCTAGCAGACCTAATCTGCTAATGTAAGAAATGTTAAAGTTCTTCACGCAGAAGGAATATGGTATCAGACAGAAACATGGGTCCATACAAAGAAGAGTGCTAGAAATGGAATAAATGTAGGTAAAATAAAAATCAATCTTGTTCTTATTAATTGCTCTAAAACAGGGTTGCTAATTTTTTTTCCTCTTTAAGGACAAATATTTTAGGCTTCGTGGACCTTATGGTCTCTGTTGCAACCACTCAACTCTGCCATGTAGTATAAAAGCAGCCACTGACAAAACAAAGAAATGACTGTGGCTACATTTCAACAAAACTTTATGGACACTGAAACTTAAATTTCATGTAATTTTCAAGTGTCACAAAATGTTTTTTCCCAGCCATTAAAAAATTTAAAAGCCATTCCTAAACTGCTAGCCATACAAAGAAACAGGAGCAGGGTCAATTTGGCCGATAGGCCTTAGTTTGGTAACTTCTGCTCTAAAAGATAGCCTACTGTACAAAGCAAAATTTATACTAACAATGTACTGTGTGTTTAGAAGATACATAAAAGTAAACTGTATCTACAAGAAAAAAAGGAGGCGTAGGAAGGCAGGTGGAAACCTCCTCCCACACACACACCAAGGAAGCAACTACAGCAAACACAGCTGACCCTGAAAATGACCTGAAGACAGCAGAACAGGGGAAGAAGAGACCACC